AAATATGCTTTCCTGCAGCCGTTTGATAAAGAATCTAGTTATCTTCATATTTTATACTCGAAGATGGAGTATAATTAAGTTTTAAAAGTTTCTAATTATGAGATTTTTAAGACAGTGCAATGTCCATTCATGCAGCATTGCACCTCTCTGTTTACCATTGCTCTTCATGAAATGTACAACATAGTCCGCATCCATTGCAAAATTTTATGGACTCTACATGATATCTTTTTAGAGGCATAGAAGAATATGTCATTTTCTTTAAGCGGAACTCATGCACCTTGTAGATTGAAATCACTAGGCGCTAACGCAACGGCTGATTAGGCTCCAAATTATTTGGGAATTAGAAAACTTTTTGAAAACCTAATTATACGCCTTCTTCGAGTATAAAAAATAAAGATGATGTGATTCGCTATCAAACGACTGAAAGAAAGCATATTTTTGTTCGTGGTTCCTAAAAAATATATTTGAATTTGCAAGACCGTCGAAAATCAATTGGAGAAGTGCATGCTACTTACGTAGTCATTTTTGCCGAGTACGGTTTTTACATGAGATTGAAAAGCAGAGCATTCAGAAGCTAACATCCTACTAATAGAAGCGAAGAGACGAGTCCCAGGAAGTAGTCTTGAAGAGGGGGAAATCCATCCTACCGATTCCGAAGTATTATAGGATTATGTCGTAAAATAATCTCTGCTAAGTTAGTCACAATGCCATAGACCCTATGCAAACGTTTCCAACGAGTCATCATACAGATAGACAATGAGACTGAGAAAAGAGGGTGTGACTGACGCATCGTAAGGCCGCCTGACTATAGCCCAATTCACGAGCAAGTCATTGCTGCCACCTTCTACCTGGCGGATGAACTACCACTTACACAACCCGGCAGGGTCGGAACAATCCTCTCGTGGTCCAAAACGGAGCGGTGTGCCGCGGGGCGATGTCGCGCAGCGACACCTGCTGTTCGAATGAGTCACCAGGGCGGCGCTGAATCGTGTTATTCACACGCATTTGCGTCGGCCGTTTTTCTGTTAAAAATGATGTTCAGAGGGATAGCCGATGGTGGCAGGTGCCGATAATGTTGGTTTGGGAATGGGGGGGGGGAGAGTGCGCAGCGGCTAATCTGCAGAGGACGGCAGAAACGTGGCAACAGCGAAAGTGGTGGAAGGTCGGGATACTCTTCTGTCCACCTTTTTGCGCGTACCGTACAACTATATTGCCTCTTCCCCAACCTAGCGCCTCGAAATAACACGGCTGAGATGACGTCGTGTTCACAGAGTCAAGTGAGGGGAGGCGGACGAGTTAACAACTGAAGGACATCGAGGGTGAGCGTGCAGTCTTTGGGAAGATAGTGGTTGCTTCAGAAAACTAATGACAGACTCAGGTGTCTATAGGAGGAAGCCCAACATCTTGTTTGCTGCCGCAGTATTAACAAAGATAAAGGCCACAGCTCGCAATCTAATTTTCTTCTGTAAAAACCTGGCTGTTTTTCGCAGCATCGTTAGTAGGATCACAAAGGACTTGTAGTTGCTACTTTTAAGGAAAATATGGTGCCATATGGTCAAGACAGACTGATTCAAATCGTCAGTTGCTACACACGCGAGAGCTACTGGACCTTTGAGAAAACGTTAGCTATACTGCTGGGACGGCAAAGTTAGTACCAAACGAAAAGAGTCGGCATGGCATTCTGCAGAGCAAAAAGAACTAGGTGTCTAGAGAGCTTAAGAACATCAGTTCTGTGAACGCGGTAATAAAAGGAAACAACGAAAATGACGCATAAGATTACATGCCGCTCCAGACGCTTTATATACGGTGGTTCCGGGTATGGCGCAACTTAGGCCAGCTGCTTCTTCAACACAAGACATGCGGATTTCCTAATTCATTCGAGCAGGTGCCGCTGATTTCTCACGGCGTCCCTTCATTCTTTATGATTCCGCACCGCTAGATCTTGTCACCGGCAGCCATAGGCCAGAGCATACAAACCGAAGTAGCCAAAACTGCTTCTTGAACACACGTTTTACATGTGTAGTTGTCTACTTCTCCTGAGCTCCAAAACGTAAAAAAGGGCAGCGTACTAAGGGCAGGCGAACTGAAACTCTCAGCTGAGCAACAACGGTAAATATCTAAAAACGGCCAAATGGGACCTCTCCTCGGATATACGAGAGAAATGAGGCGCATACTCTGGGTATCTTGCACCAGTCAACTCGGACTAAAGCCGCAAGGGTAACTAAATAAACAAATCTGGAAGATAGAGGCAGGGCCGGCGTGGTATGGACAACGAGTCTGATCGTTGCGAACTATCGCTGTTCGCCGTTACTCCATGAGGCTGACCTTATAGCGGTGACTTTGTTTACAGTGAAGAGGACATTCAATGCACCAATCCCACTCTCTCTCCTGCCACACCCAGCGTGCTCTGATGGCAAGCCGAAGTCGAGACGACCGGAGGCGAGCGGGAACACTGTGTGGCCGAGAGCTTGGTAGACAGCCTGTGCGTGCAGCGCAAAATCTGGTCTCCGTCCAATTAATTGCCAGGCTGCATTTTGTGAGGGCATTCGAATCTCCCTTAGGTAAGAATGAGGGCACATTACGAAGGAGTCATTGCAGCCTGACTCCCAGTTCTGAGAAGGATCGTCTTGCCCCCGCCCCCCGTTAGCTGACCGTCTACCAGCCTGCGACTGATAGTCGCGATACATTCAAGAGCGACAGACTGATTGAGGAACACGCTGACTTGCCGTCCTGATGACCTGCCCAGCATCGACCCCACTCTCTTTTCCCTCACTCATGCATTGCCGGCCGACTGTCCGAGCCTGTCAACCAAGTGGTCACAGTGACTAGCATGGCGAGATGACCTCCATCTGACAGTTCGACCGTCGTTACCGACGATGCCCACCGTGTGCTCCACTGAAAGGTGAGACAGACACGGTGACTTGTGCGTAAATTAGTTTATAGCATCTACCTCTCTCTTCTCCACCTGGATCCGGTGTCAAGACAGAGGCAAGAAGACTAGAGGCGAGGTGGGGCGCAGGTGGATGGCGTGGCCGAGCCCGCACCTTGGCGTTCCACTCCACCCCCCCCCCCTGGTTCACACAGCAAATGACCAGGTCTTTGACCAATAACAACACCCCAACAGAGGTCAAAAGGACGAGGATGATGAATGGGCAGCCATGTCCACCAACTGTACACCCAGCGGGAGCGCAAGTGCATCTACCGACAGGGAACCAGGTGTCCATCTAAGGCGTGCCACACGTACATGTACGACAGTGGTTAGGGACTCGCCCAGGCCACAATGATCAGCATGGACCACAAGACACAACAGGGACGTAGACTGGTCACTCCAACGGGGGACACGATTTTCTTACACCAATTCAACTCTTTGTCGGTGGAATACGTGCATTTTACACATTTGTTCCCGTAAATTGGAATAAATTTGCTCTAAAGTTTGAGGAAAAAAGGAAGAGCTAACCCTGTTGATTTGGCACGCGATCAGTGGGTAGGGATCCAATGTTGGTGACACTGTTGGCAGTTTCCACCTGATGGCTCGAGGTTCTCTGAAGAACGTTTGAAGACATCGGTGCCGGATGTCTGGCGGTATGCGTTCGGGGTGGTGGGGGAGGGTTGTGTCGCTCGAGATTCGGGGAAAGGGGTTTGGGGTCCCTGGACGCGTCGGTGGAAGTCCGGGTTACTCGTTTGCCAACACAATTTAGCATGGCCTCACCGTCTGAACCGCTATTGTAGGACTGAAGTGGAAGAGGATGCCCAGTTTAAGTAGTTGGTCAACGACAACGGCTCCATCATACTTCCAACACAGATACCTGTTGACAAGGGAGGTGGCACTGCTACTCTGAACAAGACAGTCTACATAGGGCTGACATAAATGTTAAAAGACAACCCAACTTACACAGTCCTGACTACCGACCCTACAAAGTCACAGAACTCGCATATTGAAGAAGTATTGGAATGCCTTGCGGGACAAAAATTAATTTCTGGAGTTCCTGTCAAATCCTTGAAATAGAATGAAGAAAAGATTGCCAAAACGAACGGACTTCTTAAAGTTCACATGACTGGCATTCCAATGCGACCGACCACCCAGACGCCCAGACCAGCCGGCTGGCGCACTCCCCTCATGTAAAAAAGTACCTGAGCTCGTCAAAAGGTAGCTGAAAAAACCCCAAATGCAGGTGGCGCACAAGTCACTTTGCGCATCCAGTTTGCACCTCCTAGAGACAGGGTTGGCCATTTCAATAAAAAAGAAATCGCCTAAAGAATGCCATTTACCAGTGGTGACGTAGTTGCATTGTAGCCAAATCGACAAATCCCTCTCCACCCGTACACATGAACACCAGATAGCAGTGATGAGACAAAACTATTTACCCCAGGCAGTCACGCGCACACTAGACAGAGGACGCATTCGCACGGGAGGAAACCCGGAATGTGAGCGCCTGGCCAACAAAGAAGGGCTGAGGTCCTGAAGACAATCCACTCAGACGAGGCATGCATATATAAGCATAATCCATTTATATACCTTATACGAATCCATCATGGGCAAGTGGGAACGGACACAGTCAATACAGGTCGGGTACATACAATGGTAGAGGGGGTGCTAACCGATCGCAACCGACGGGACAACGAGCCTGCGGCTCAGCGGTTAGGGGCGTTGGACTTCTAACCAACAGGTCGTGGGATCGAGCCCCAGGTGTTTCACATATAGGGGTTGGGCATGCTGGTTGACGACAGCTAATAAGCCAGTATCCTTGGTCTTTGTCGGTTATGCTACGCAGCCTACACTACGCGCTGTTGTGCGGCTGCTTGCTGGGCTCGAGAGAAAGCCCCAAGACAAAACAGGACGAGTGAGTGCCGTAGCGCGATCGATGAGCGCCCCTACACCAATATATAGGAAAAGTTGAAATCTGGTATGCCTTTTAAGGTAGATAAGCACGTGAAAGGGCCGAAAGCAAGACCGTCCGAAAAATAATAGCAGTGTAGAAATTTGATGCACAGTCGATAAATCACAGTCGACTTGGTGTCAGCCTGTGAAGTCGTGCATCATCATCATCATCATCATCATCATCATCATCATCATCATCATCATCATCATCATCATCATCATCATCATCATCATCATCATCATCATCATCATCATCATCATCATCATCATCATCATCATCATCATCATCATCATCATCATCATCATCATCATCACCACCGCCACCGCCACCGCCACCGCCGCCGCCACCACCACCACCACCACCACCACCACCACCATCATCATCATCATCATCATCGTCATCTGGATAATGAGAATTCGATTAAAAGAGCGTTCAGAAGATCCACCAGAGGGCGAAAAGAAAGAGCTATTTAACATCGTATAATATCCATTTTCATCTCTGTGGAATAGGGCCAACCTAATTGCCCATCTTTGGTCAGCACTTTTGCATTTGTACATCTGGTGATAAATATATTTTATTAGTGCATTCCACCACCACCACCGCGGCCACCTCCGCCACCACCGCCACCACCACCACCAGACTGGTGCACATCTTGTTTGAATATACACTCGATCGGCGTAAAGGTTCTGTGGCGTCACCGACCTATTTGTGGATGGTTCGGACTTGTTTAGTGTGTCGGTGATCCCAGATGTTGGTCAGTGATATGACTGTCTGAAGAGGGCATTAATGGGCCGGAAACAGCTTAAGCGTACAGCTTAGCCTGAAAAAATTCCTCCCACTTCAAGGAATACACTAAAACCTCCCAGCTTTGGAATTATTGCGCTCCCATTTATGCCAGACGTCGAACGGAAACCATCTAAAAGTCCAAAACAAACCACATTGCATTTAAGATCTGTGGACGACATTTTCGCCGCAATTGACAGTCAGATACATTGCGAATGCCACGAATAAGGCGCACTCCAGCAAACAAATTTATTAGCTGGCTCGGACGGGCTTATGCAACGGAAGAAAGATGCGTCCACGCAGAGGGCGATTTGCCGGAAAACACGTCGGAAGGGGGCAGTATTTATACTTCATGAATTCTGTCTTTATTCAAAGAATGGGGAACTTAATCTAATACTTTTTTTTAACTGCGTGACTGAAACATGTTTTACTGATAAGATGGAGGACGAGATCAATGCTCTCCGAAGAACCTTGATGAAGAGAGAACTTGGTTGAAAAATACCACCCTAGGGAGGCGAACAAGAGCGGGGTATCGGTGTCCAGGGCACCAGTAGGCGGTTGCCTTCAATCCCTAGGCAATGTCTTAAACGCGACTAAGCGAGTGCCAGCAGCACGACTGAGCGAGTTTCCGCGATCGCCAGTCTGATCATTTTGAGCCCCAGGACGACCCCCCTCCCCGCGGTCAGACCCATTAAATACGCCTCGTCGACGCAGGCCATCTCCAACCGTGTTTATGAGTTCACACGCACTTGTGGGTGTAAACAGATTCGGTGCACGAAAAAACAGCCGACAACCCCGTCGACAGAAGATCTGACGAAGTGGTTTTGGGAGCGAAAAACAATGTTCCGACTAGCTCAGTCGTAAAGCATATTTAGAACCCTGGACGAGCTGTGAATCTAAAGTTGACTTTTAGTGTCAGTGCGGTCGGTCTCCTACGCTACTCCAGGGTGGTAGAAGTCCGGGTGTGAAAACCGAAACTGTACAGACAGTTGTACCATGTACTCTCGCTGGCTTGGCAAGGTGCCCATCTAACAGCACCCCTTCCCTTCCTCGATTCTCCAAAACCAGTCCAATTGCAAACGCTCGGCCTCGCGAACAGTGGGCCTTTTTAAAACCGAAAGATACCCTTTTGTCTTGTATCATATTTGAGAAAGAAGTGACTTGCTACTAAATGGGTACAATAAAGGATACATTCGTGTACTTTTATAATGACATCGAAAATAGATAAGAATGCATACTATTTCAGCAGTTGTTTCAATCGAGTCCGATTGTTATGGATAACCGGGAAGTGCATTCAAAATTCGACACCCTGGCATGTCTGAAATATCATGGGACCATGTCGGCAGATAATCAACATTACAATCCCACTTAAGCAATCGTACCTAATCGGCAACGCGCTTCATAATGCCACGAGATCGGCCACTGACCGTTACTATCATTCGGCCACGGAAATTCCTCGCGGTCATGATACCCCTACAAGTTGTTGATATTAGTTTGCAGCTCATCATTATAACTCTTGTAGTAATTCGTTCTGTGGAGTTCAATAACCACTAAAGCTTTAATTCTGGCCGAAATCGTCAAGTTGTTTTCCTGAGGGTCAGAAACTCAACTGTCTACTAGTTTCGGCGTCCCATGGGACAGAACAGTTTAGTGATCTTCAGGATCCCTCAAATCATGCGGAGAAAGATCGAAAGTGATTAAGTAAATCCGTTAGTGTCTTATGGCCGAGAAATTGCCCTTCATGTAGACAGGTTTCTGGCGTCGATGTGGTCCGAGAACCCAGCCTAGGGCATTTTCTATAGCCACAAACCAGAGGAAAGAAAGTGCACATATTCAGTTCGGAGTAGGGGGAAAAAAACAAAATAAGAAAAAATTAGTTTTATGGAAAACCCAATCTATTCACGAGAGAGCTTGGCGCGTTTCTCGAGAAAATTCAAAAATCCCCCAGTACTGCCATGTTTTTAAAAAACCCCAGACGAGTTTTGAGAGGGAACAGTGTGTTCATTTATAAAGCCTGAAGCGTAGGCTTTCCCATCGGAAAAAGAAGACCTAGACAGACGAATTACACGGGTAGAACGCCTGTCGCGTTACATTAGCTTTTCTAAAACTCATGCACAGCTGACTGGGCTTCCCACGAAGAGTACAGTTTAAACAACCAAAGCAAGTCGAGTTTAGTTTGCATGAAAATAGAGTAACCCGGAACAGACTTAAAAATCTCGCAAACAAGCGGTGATCACTAGGTTGAGGGAAAGTCTGAGGTCTGAAACAAAGTGCGTTAATGAATAACATTTGCAAGTCCTTAACAGAATAGACCTGGGCACACTTAAATAGAATCATGGCGGCCTCTAATTAACTGTTGGTCTCGAATGGGTAAAAAATCAAAGAGAAACGGACGAACTGCAAAGTCATGCAACTACATATAGAGAACTACCAGTAAATTTTATATGAAAAGAAACGGCGAATAACTCTAACCGGATAGCTTTACAGAAGATTTGCTTTCCGAGTAAAAAAAACCCACTAGAACATACGGGTGGACGAGAACGGGGTGGGTGCGGCCTTAGATGCAGCCTGTGGAAGTCCCCATAGCTTAAAAGCACAAGTGGTCAAATCGGCTCTGCAGAGGGCTACAGCCGACACTCTTGGATGCAGGTGTGTTATCGTTTTTACGGTTTTCTCGCGACAGTTGTTGACCCGGACGGTTGGACACGTTCCAAGGGAAGGCTCCCAGACTAGTTAAAATAAGGGTAAGATGTGATTATGCAGCAGCACCTTATGGACACCATACTGTTAGGGTTTAGGGATTAGAGTTAGGGTTAGAAGTAAGAGCAACTATTTCTCAACCATTTAAAGGAAAACCGCGCATTCCCGATGGCCTTTCTTTCGCATACAATTACTTGACCTCGTCGCCTGTGCGTTCCCCGGCTCTACCTGTAAAAAAACCCTTATTACCATCGGTCCCATATCAGAAGTGACTGGGGTTTGTTTACCGCCGGTACGGCTACATAACCACATCTGACCAAAATGAGATTGCTGATCTGAAGGCATTCCGGTATAGCAGCGGGTCTGCTATTGTTGGATCCATGCTAAAATCGGTTAGGAAACCTGTTACACGGTCTCCTGTAGACGATACGCAGTTTTCATGAACGGACTCATCTCCTGCCGCTTGTTCAACCCCCTTTTTAGGTCAGGGTGGCAACTGTCGACAGAAGACTTTAGACTTCAACTGAAATGTCGTCTTCTAGGTGCGCGTTGCTGTGCGGCCTCCGTATTTCGCCGACGACTACTTCCTGAGAGGGCGGTGATGCGGCCACACGACACTGCATGGATCTTAGACGGATAAGGAGTCCGCTGTGGACGACGTAGGAGGGGGAGGAGGGGAGGGGTGATGAGTTGGCCACCCAAACTGAGGAGTCCGATCCCGTGGTTGCAGTCCGATCCCGTGGTCCGATCCCGTGGTTGCCAGCGGAACTGCCTCCTCGTGCCCTCTTCAGCCCGCTGCACTCTTTTTGTTAATCGATTTTTTGAGCCACGCTAGACTTGGCCCAAGTGTGACACAAACCATCGGCTTGCGAGTAGCGTGAGGTTGACTGAAGGCGGCATGCGTAAGCGGCCACGACGGTGACCAGAGGACCGGACTGCCACAGTACTAACGTCAGGCCTTGACCACGGTCTCAGCAATGAGGCCACCACTCACATCGCAAACAGCCAGTCGACGAAGGGGGTCTGCAGCTAACTTGACGAACAATTTGATCAAGTTTTCGTGTGCCACTGAGTTTTGGGGCTGCTTCATGGAGGTTGTCACTTAAGTGCAGTAGCTTTTCGGTCGTTCTCCAGTCGACCTTGTCGTCATTTTCCGAAGTTTGCGAAGGCAATCCTCGTTGAGGGGTCTAACTTGAGCTGTCTGCGCGAACTACTGTAAGGTCCTCGAGCTGAAGCAGTCAGCGCGGCGCTGTTAGGGGAAACCGAGAATTTTCCAGCCGCCTCGCGGACTGGGGACT